AGAAGTATGATTCTGAGGAAAATCATTGCTGTTTTCCTTTTTCTTTAATTTTTAAAATCTTTTTTATTGGAGTTCAATTTGCCAACATATAGCATAACATCCAGTGCTCATCCCGCCAAGTACCCCCCTCAGTGCCCATCACCCAGTCACCCAACCCCCCGCCCACCTCCCCTTTCACTACCCCTTGTTCATTTCCCAGAGTTAGGTGTCTCTCATGTCAAAAACAGTTCTTGTATGCTGTTGGGCCTTGGTAGAGATGAAGCACCTGATCATGGGATACCAAGTCACTGTGTCCAGAAATGGCCATCATGAGCTGGGTTCCATCATAAGCAGAACCACCATATCAGTAAAGACAGGCAAGACCAGCAGTCCATCCTAAGATGAAAGCGGTATATCAAAGATTGAACATGAGCAAAATTAGTGGATATCAGCAAGCTTTGTGAGCAGGGAATCTAAATCTTCATGTCATCCATGACTATTGCTTCAGTACTTTTCCCTCAGCTCACACACGTGGTTGTACTGAGGTCTTATATTAACCAACTCACACAAAGGGAAAGTTCCTAGTTTGCTTCACGGGTAGCTCAACTTGGTATATGAGTAAAGGTCACAAATGATTAGCAGCTGCACTGGAGCCCCAAATAGTAATAAACTTGAAAGACAAAAGGAGAAGAAATCTTCCTAAAGGACAGAACTTCAAACTCTTCACCTGGTCCTCCACTTTATGTCACAGGATTGGCCCCAAAACACTGAACTAGGCAGTGGTGAATGATCTGGCAAATTAGGGGCATACAGTGAGAAAGACTGGAAGATTAGGGACAAGAAATTCTAGAGTAGAGATACGTGAGCGGAACTATAGGAATGAAAACAAAGTGGGAAGACCTCTGTAATGCATGTTAACATCCACCAAAACCAAGTATCACAGAAGAGGTATTAAATAACCATGTAGACAAATTTACTCAGGTGACATTAGCCAGCCTCTGCCATCAGTGATCATACAAATGGTACAGGAATAGAAATCTGTAGTGGCAGGAGTAGAAGAAAAACTGAAATACTGGCTCTCAGTCCCTAAGTAAATCTTACTATTCTTATTGCCACATTTCTAGCATCTCCTCAACAAAGCTTAGTTCTGAGGACCATCCACAAGGAGATGAGACATCTACTTGATGTCTAGATAAGTACGTAGGACCTCTTTCACATTGAAAGTGTCTTCGTTTCAATGTGTGAGAAATATCAGAAAGGGAGACAGAACATAAAGACTTCTAACTCTGGGAAATGAACTAGGGGTAGTGGAGGGGGAGGAGGGCGGGGGGTGGGGATGAATGGGTGACGGGCACTGAGGGGGACACTTGACGGGAAGAGCACTGGGTGTTATTCTGTATGTTGGTAAATTGAACACCAATAAAAATTAATTTATAAAATTAAAAAAAAAGTGTCTTCGTTTAATCTTACAGGAATCAGCATTTACTCTAGACACATTTTTTGCCTGTAGAGCCTCAATCAAGATAACCATCCCCGAGCTTATTGATTGTTTGGTTCACCAGTATGGGATTTCACCTACTGTCACATCACAAAGAATTCCACTTTCCAGCAAAGGAGATACTGCAGTGAGCTCACAACTGTGAGCTGCACTGGTCTATAATGTACATCCAGAAACTCCCATCTGAAGGGAGTGATGAAATAGCCTGCTGAAGGCATATTTGAGGCATAAAGATGGTAATCTGTGGAAATGAGTCACCATCCTTCAGATGGAGTATCGCGATAAAGGAAAGGACATTATGTGGTACTGTGTCCCCAAGAGGTAGAGACATGGTTGGAAACCAAGGGGTACAAGCAGGAGTGGTCTTAGTTACTAGTATTCTAGTGATCCACTTGAGCAGTTGGTACTTTCTGTCATTTCAGCCATGGCCTCTGATCCCTAAGAGGAAGGTACACCAAGAGTTCCTTTGAACTATGAACGCTTACTGCCAAGGGACTTTAAACCTTTTATGCTAAGAGACCAACAGACAATATTGGGCAATAATTATAGGCCTTTATTCTTTTCCCCCCCAGATTTTTATTTAAATTCCAGTTAGTTAACATACAGTGTATTATTAGTTTCAGGTATAGAATTTAATGATTCATCACTGAACATACAACACCCAGTGTTCATCAGAACAAATGCCCTCCTTAATACCCATCACTCATTTAACCCATCCTCCTACCCACCTCCCCTCCTGTGACCATGTTTTACTCTATAGTTGAGTTTGTTTCTTGGTTTGCCTCTTTTATCCTGCCTCCCTCCGTATTCATTTGTTTCTTAAATTCCACTTATCAGCAAAATCATATGGTATTTGTCTTTCTCTGACTGACTCACTTCACTTAGCATAGAACTCTAGCTCCGTCCACGTCATTGCCTCACACCAGTCAGAATGGCTAAAATTAACACAGGAAACAACAGGTGTTAGAGGATGTGGAGAAAGAGGAACACTCTTACACTGTTGGTGGGAATGCGAATGAGTGTGACCATGCTGGAAAACAGTATAGAGATTTCTTTGAAAGTTAAAAATAGAACTACCCTATGATCTACCAATTGCATAATTAGGTATTTACCCAAAGAATACAAAAATACTAACTTGAAGGGATACATGCACCCCAATGTTTACAGCCAAATTATGAAAAGTGCCCAAATGTACATTGACTGATACTGACCTTTATTAAGTAGAGAGATATGATCTGATTTATTTTTCTATGAGAACACTCTGGCTACTGTGAGGATTATGAGTGGAAGAAAGAAGACAAATTGGAGGCTTTTGTAATAGCTTGGGTAAGATGTGATGGCAGCATGGACTAGTCTTGTGGAGATAGAGGTATAGAGATTCAGAATATATCTGGGGTTAAAGCTGAAAAGATTTGCTCTCTGGCTGGGTGTAAAATTGAAGGAAAAGGAGGAAGCTAATGTAGTTGGTTTTGTGCCTTGAGCAATGGATGGTTGGTGGAGCAATTTATGGATATTGAAGATACTGAGGGAGAATTTGAGATTTGCTTGGTTAGTTGGTTTTAAAGTGAAAGTTTCTTTTTAGACATAAAACTTTAGACATTCATCTAAGTAGAGATTTCAATAGCCTTTAAATAGCCTTTCTTGCCTAACAGCTTTTCATGGGATCACCTGAGGCCTTAGAATTACTGAACTGTATTTTGTCTTCATCCTCTGTGCAGTCTCTACTTAAGCAGTTCATGAGCCTGGCGCTTTGGTCTAGGGAGAAGAGAGAATAAGGAAAAAACCTAGGGAGAAAACATTTATTGCCATTTAGGGTAAAAGAGAAATAGCTTTTTTGTTACACAAGATGTTTTGCTTTACAAACTGTGGAAGGAGCCTTGGTGTCCATCGAAAGATGAATGGATAAAGAAGATGTGGTTTATGTATACAATGGAATATTACTCAGCCATTAGAAACGACAAATACCCACCATTTGCTTCAACGTGGATGGAACTGGAGGGTATTATGCTGAGTGATGTAAGTCAATCGGAGAAGGACAAACAGTGTATGTTCTCATTCATTTGGGGAATATGAATAATAGTGAAAGGGAATATAAGGGAAGGGAGAAGAAATGTGTGGGAAATATCAGAAAGGGAGACAGAACATAAAGACTCCTAACTCTGGGAAATGAACTAGGGGTGGTGGAAGGGGAGGAGGGCGGGGGGTGGGGGTGAATGGGTGACGGGCACTGAAGGAGACACTTGACGGGATGAGCACTGGGTGTTATTCTGTATGTTGGTAAATCGAACACCAATAAAAATTAATTTATTAAAAAAAGATGTTTTGCTTTATTCACCATCAACAGATTATTTTGAAAGGAATATCTGTTTGAAAATAAATGAAATGGGCTTTAATCTCAACTTTTTGATTTGGATACTGTGTTTCTTAAAGTATTTTTACTTCATTTTCATTAAAAATTTTACCCAAGCCATTTTACTAATTACATAGTGCCTGTGTCTCTTCCAAATAAGCAAATGCTTATGTATCATCTCTCCTTGAAGTCATCTATCTTTTCTTAAATTTAAGGCTAATTGCCTAGAAATATCACTTCCCTTATGAGTTCAAGAAAATTTATGATTTTTAGAGTATTTAAGAAAGTTTCTTGTTTTCTAGAGTGAGAATGATGTTCTTTCCATAATTTTGTATCTTTTTAAAAGACTTTATTTATTTGACAGAGAGAGAGAGAGAGCACAAGCAGCAGGAAGGTCAGAGGGAGAATGAGAAGCGGGCTCCGCACTAAGCAAAAGCCCAAAGTGGGGCTCAGTCCCAGGACCCCAGGATCCACGACCTGAGTCACAGGCAGATGCTTAACCAACTGAGCTACCCAGGCACCCCTTTTTGCATCTTTTTAAAAAGATATTTATGTATGTATATATGTATGTATGTAGCTGAGAGAGATAGTGTGTGAGCAGGAAGGAGAGGGAGAGAGAATCTGAAGCAAAGGTCAACACAGGGCTTGATCTCATGACTAAGAGACTGTAAACCAAGAGTTGGATATTTAACTAACTGAGTCACCCGGGTGCCCCTCCATATTTTTGCATCTTAAGCAGAAGCACTGCTAAACTATACATAAGAGATTTGAGATACATATAAAACATCTACATTCTATCCAAGTTTTCTATTGGCAGTTCTCCAAACCAGGACAAATGCATGGATGGAAGAAGATTATGGCATTAAGATATTAATTGAATCAAAGCATAAGTACTTATTACTGAGGGGATGTTTATAGATTTACTGTGAAATTTTACAACTCATGTTCTGCCTTCAAATATTTTTTCTAGTCACATTTTCATCCTTCTTAAATTTGAATATTTTTCCTCATGGGATTGATGGTTTCTTTTCCTTTTTTTTTTTTACTTTTATATTTTTATTATTTATTTTTTGGTATGGTATGGTTTCTTATATAGATAGTTGATATAAGTGCTTGTTCTTCCAAAGTGATACTGATTGATAAAAATCAATATTTGTGTGTTTTCCTCAACAGGAATTCCAAGTACAAAATACTACCAAGATAGCTTTAAAAAACTTGTCTTTGAATTTATATATGGGGCAGATCACTGTTCTTCTAGGACACAATGGGGCAGGGAAATCCACTACTCTATCTATTCTCTCAGGTAAGGGTATATATCTGTTCAGAGTTTCCTCACATAGATACTGCAGATCAAGCCTAACAAGACTTTTGTGTATTCTTTTGATAATTACAACTTAGTTTAGTGATACATAAAATTGTTCAGTAATCTACTTTCTTTTCAAAATGAAAATAATTTCATGTGAAAGATACCAGATAACAGGTTTTAAAAAGATTTTACAAAGTAACCACTATGAATATGCTCAAAAGAACTAAAGGAAACCATGATTAAAGAAATAATGAAATGTATGAAAACAATATCAATAGAAAATATCAATAAAAAGATATATATTATAAAAAGAAGAACCAAGTGGGAATTATGGAGTTGGAAAGTATAATAACCAAAGTGAAAAATTCATTAAAGGGGCTTAGCAGTAGATTTTTGTGAATTGTCACAAGAGAACACCAGGGAACTTGAAGATAGATTGATAAAGATTATAAAATGTGAATAAAATAAAGGAAAAAGAATTAAAGAAAATTAACAGTTCCATAGGAATTTTTGATAACTTTAAATGCAGCAGCGTATATGTAATAAGGATGTAGGAGAGGAGAAAGAGAACAAAGCCAAAAAAGTATTCTACAAAATAAAGGCTGAAAACAGTAATCTACACATTTGAGAAGCTCCACAGACCTCAAATACAATAAATGTGAAAATATCATCACTGAGAAATACTATAGTAAAAAATTATTAAGGAGAAAATATTGAAATCAGGAAGCCAAAAATAATTTGTCACATTCAGTTACACCCTTGTAGGTCCAAAAGCTGACTTCTCATTAGAAATAATGGAGGCCAGAAGGCAATGGTTTAATAAAGTGCTGAAAATTTGAAATGATCAGTTACTAATAATAAAATTAAATCAGCAATGAAAAAGCTCCCAGTGACCAAAGTCCAGGAACAGATGTCTTCACAGGTGAATTTTATCAAACCTTTAAAGAGAATTAATGTTCATTCTTCTCGAAGCATTCCAAAAAATAGAAGAGAAAGGAAAACTTTCAAATTCATTCTAGAAGGCCAGCTATTACTCTGATACCAAATCAAAATACAAAAATAAAACTACAGGCCAATGTTTCTATGGCCAATGATAATATATGTAATTCTCCTCAACAAAATGTTAGCAAACCAAATTCAACAATACATTAAAAGGATTCATTATGAGATGCCTGGGTAGCTCAATGGTTGAGCGTCTGCCTTTGGCTCAGGGGGTGATCCTGGAGTCCCAGGATCAAGTCCCACATTGGGCTCCCTGAATGGAGCCTGCTTCTCCCTCTGCCTGTGTCTGCCAGTCTCTCTCTCACTCTCTCTCTCTCTCTCATAAATAAATAAAATCTTAAAAAAAAGGATTCATTATGATCATGTTGGATTTATGCCACAGATGCAAGAGTGGTTCAACATTGGCAAATCAATCAGCATGCTACATTACAGTAGCAAGAGGAAGGATGAAAACCATACATTCATCTTAGTAGATGCAGAGTAAAGCATTTGACAAAACACAACATCCATTCTTGATTAAAAACTCTCAACAAAGTGTGTTTGGAGGGAACATATTTCATTATGATTAATGTCATATATGACAAACCTACAGTTAACATCATAATGGCAGAAAGCTGAAATCTTCTAAGATCAGGAACAAAAAAAGGATGTCTAGTCTCACCACTTTTTTTTAATGATTTTGTTTATGTTTGTTTATTTGAGAGAGAGAGAGAGAGAGAGGACAGGCATGGGGAGTGGCAGGCAGAGGAAGGGGGAGAAGCAGGGTGTAAGGCTCAACTCCAGGACCCTGGGATCACAACCTGAGCTGAGGGCAGACACCTTACCAACTGAGCCACCCAGGCACCACTTTTATTCAACATAATAGAAGAAGGTCCTAGCCACAGCAGTTAGACAAGAAAAAGAAATAAAAGGCATTTAAATTGGTAAGGAAGACTTAAAACTATCAGTATTTGTAGATAATATATATAGAAAACTCTAGAGACACCACCAAAAAACTATTAGGATAAATGAATTCTATTAAATTACAGAATACAAAATTAATATGCAGGGGAGTTTAGGAAGACAGCAGAGTAGGAAGACCCTGAGCTCACCCCATGCCATGTTTGTAACTAGGTATCATCCACATCCAAGTAAATAAACTGGAGAGTGATCCAAAGACTGGCAGAACAAGCTCCACAACAAATATGGACAAGAAACTGCATCTGAAAGATTAGGAAGATCAGAAAGGTAGAGGGAAGCTGCCTGCAGGAGGGAGGGAGTTGTCCATGGATAGGGCAGAGAAATGGATCTTTGCACCAGAGAGCTCACATGGAGAAGACTAATCCCCATAACTTTTGGCTTTGAAAACCAGAGGAGCATAATTCTTTGAATTTGTAAAACCAGTAGAACTTGGAGCCTGGAGCTTTAAAAGTCAGCTGATTCAATACAAGGCAAGCAGAGAGGGCCAGTGATAGCTGGGTCACTGCCCTTAAAGACAGCAGCCTGCACAGAGAGGCAACATAAAAACAGCAGTTTATAAAGTGCTAGGGGCAAATGGGAGACAAATCTGTTCATACTGATTTCAGAACGTGTTGGAGGACCTCTCCAAAACCGAAAGAGCTGGCAGGCACCCTTTATCCCTTCCTCACTCCCACCCCCAAATCCCCTGGCCCCAGCATAAACATAGGGCCATTTGAGGCAGCAGGACTGCACATACACTTACTACCTAACCTAGTAGTTGCGCAATGCCCTGAGTTCTCCTGAGATCTTGTCCACTTTAAACCTGCTAGCTTCAGTCCTGGGCTCAGGACAAATTTTGTTAAAGTCACATATGCACCCTGTCCTGCTATTGTGTGCCCTGCAATTTGCTTTGTTACACCCAGACATCCTTGTGTGCCAAGCCCAGTCTCTTGCCCCCAGCCACTGCAGGACTTAAGGGGATCCAGCATAAGGCTAGTGGCCCAGTGCAAATTTGCTAACATTGTCACCTCATTCCCAAGTTCCCTGGCAGCTACACCCCTTCAGAGCTGGCCTGCCTAGATCCTACTAATACCACAGAGATTAGAGGGCAAAGAGTCACTGCAGACAACTTCACTGAAAGGAAAGTGGCTCAGGCACAACAGCAAGACATAAACAGTACTCTTTTAAAGTGCCAAGCTCTGATGAACAGGAGTGCTGCACTGCAAGGCACTTCAGGACCTCTTCATAAAGTCACTACTTTCAAGATCAGAAGACATAGCTGACTTTCCTAAAACACAGAAACAGACATAGAGAGGCAAACAAAATGAAGAGACAGAGAAATTTATTCCAAATGTAAAAACAGGACAAGGCCACAGTCAGAGATCTAAGTGAAACAGATATGAGTAATGTGCCTGATAGAGAATTTAAAGCAATGATCATAAGGATACTCACTGGAACTGAAAAATGAGTGGAAGACATGACCAAGACCCTTTAACACAGAAATAAGGAACAACATAACAGAGATAAAGTTCTCAATAAACATAGATGAGAAACATGCTTGTTGGAATAAATTGCAGGTGGGAGAAGTAGAGGAATGAATTAGTGACCTAGAAGGCAAAGTAGTGGAAGTAATCAAGCTAAACAGAAGAGAGAACAAAAAATTCTGCAAAATGAGAATAGACTTAGTGAACTCTGACTCCATCAAATGTAATAATATTCATGTTATAGGAGTCCCAGAAGAACAAGAGAAGGAGACAGATAATTTATTTGAAGAAATAATAGCTAAAAACATCCCTGTCTGGGGGAAGGAAACAAATATCCAGATCCAAGAGGCACAGAGAACCCCCATCAAAATCAACAAAAGCAGATCCACAGTAAGACATATTGTAATTAAATTGGCAAAATATAGTGATGAAGAAAAAATTTAAAAGCAGCAAGACAAAAGGAAACTGTAACTTGCAAAAGAAAACCCATAAGACTAGCAGGAGATTTTTCAGAAAAAAGTTTGCAAACAAGGAGGGAGTGGCATAATATATTAAAATTGCTGACAGAAAAATCTGCAGCCAAGATAGAATACTTCTCTCCAGGAAGGTTATCATTCAGAATAGAAGGAGGGATAAAGAGAACCCCACAGAAACAGAAACTAAAGGAGTTCATGACCACTAAACCAGCCTTGCAAGAAATATAAAAGAGGACTCTTTGAGTGGAAAGGAAAGACAAATAATGACAATATAAAGGTAGGAAACACAAAGTCAGTAAAAATGAATATTTCTATTAAAAAAAATCAGTCAAGGAACTCACAAATAAAGCAATATAAAAAATAACAACAGGGCAGCCCGGGTGGCACAGCGGTTTATTTTAGCCCAGGGCCTGATCCTGGAGACCCAGGATCGAGTTCCACATCGGGCTCCCTGCATGGAGCCTGCTTCTCCCTCTGCCTGTGTCTCTGCCTCTCTCTGTGTGTCTCTCATGAATAAATAGATAAAATATTTTTTAAAAAATAACAACGTATACCTAAAACATGGGGAGGGGTGGAAAAAAGAATGGGTTCAAATTTGAATAATTATCAATTTAATATAGATTGCTATATGCAGAAGAAGCTACTTATAAACTTAATGTTCACCATATATCAAAAACTACTAATGTGCAAAGAATAAAGAGAAAAAATCTATATATATATATATCCCTAAAAAAATCAGCAAAACATGAAAGGAAGACAGCCTGAATGGGAGAATATATTTGCAAATGATATATCCAATAAGGGGTTAATATCCAGAATATATAAAGAACTCATACAACTCAACACCAAAAAAAAGGAAACAGTCTGATTAAAAAATGGGCAGAGGACCTGAATATACATTTTTCCAAAGACATAGAGATTGGCTAGTAGACACGTAAAAAGATGTACATCAGTCCTCATCAGGTAAATGCAAATCAAAACTCCAATTAGGTATCACTTCACACCAGTCAGGATAGTGTCAAAATGACAAGAAATAGTAAGTGTTGGAAATAATGTGGAGGAAAGGGAACCCTCATGCACTGTTGGTGGGAATGTAAATTGGTGCAGCCACTGTGGAAAATAGTATGGATTTTCCTTTAAGGAAAATATTAAGGAAAAAAATAAAAACAGAAATAACCATATGATCCAGTAATTTCACTAAGGGATTTTTACCCAAAGAAAATGAAAACAGTAATTCAAAAAGATAACAAGTACCTCTACGTTTATTGCAGCAGTATTTACAACAAAGAAATAGAAGCAACCCAAGTGTCCATCAATACATGAATAGATAAGGAAGATGTGATATAAGTACATATATATATGTATGTGTGTGTGTGTGTGTCTGTGTGGTATGTATATGATATATTTACATTATATATAATATATATGGCAAATATAGATACCACAGGAAGATGTAGTATATATATATGTGTGTATAGGAAGATGTAGTGTGTATATATGTATGTTGTATATTTTTATGTATGTGATATATATGCATATGTATATATATGCATGTGGTGTGTGTGTGTGTGTGTGTGTGTATATATATATATATATATATATATATATATATATATATAATCATTACTTAGCCATGAAAAAGAATGAGATCTTGTCATTTGTGACAACATGAATGTAACTAGAGGGTATTGTGCCAAGTGAAATAAGTCAGACAGAGAAAGGCAAATACTTCATAATTTCATTCATATGTAGACTTGCAAGAAACAACAAGGAAATACTCTAAATACAGAAAACAAAGTGATGGTTGCCAGAGAGAAGGTAGGTGGGGGAATAGGCAAAATCAGTGATGAGGGTTAAGAGGTACAAACTTATAGTTACAAAAAAAATGTTTTTAAGCCAAGAGCTGAAAGAAGAAATTATCGGCTGAAAATCTCATCTCTAAGTATCAGAAATTAACATGAAATCACACATTCCCAGATAAACAAACCTGACAGAATTCATTCCTAACAGACCTGTCTTTAGAAACTCTTTGGGCTAAAAGCAAGGAAGCTGAGATGGAAATCTGAACACATGCACATACATATACACACACACACACACACACACACACATAAATAACAAAGATGACATCAATAAGGTTAATTATATAATTATAAAAGATAGTATTAATACATACTACTTTTCCTTTTAACTAATTTCAAAAGAAATTTTATAAAAAATATTTAGATAGGGACACCTGGGTGGCTCAGCAGTTTAGTGCCTGCCTGCCTTTGGCCCAGGGTGTGATCCTGGAATCCCAGGATCAAGTCCCACATCGAGTTCTCTGCATGGAGCCTGCTTGTCCCTCTGCCTGTGCTCTCCCCCCCTCCCCGTTTCTCTCATGAATAAATAAATAAAATCTTTAAAAATATTTAAAAATATATTTAGATAATTGTGATGTTGGGCCTGCAATACAGAAAAATAATAAATTTGACAATAATAGCATAAAAGAGGAGGATGGGAACAAAGTTGTAATAGAGTAAGGAAATAATGCAAGGTGGAAACATAAACCCATAGGAACAAATGAAGAAAACCAAAAATGCTAAATTATAAGTAAATTTAACAACCTGTAAATAATGCTTGCTCTCCTTTCTCCACTTCTGTAATACGCATAAAATTCTATAAGTATTAATTATGACAATGTACTATTGTGGTAACACATGTAAATGAAATGTGTATAACAATACCAGCACAAAAATAGAGAAGACAGAACAAAATTATATCAGTTTTCTAGAATTTAGTATAAATCTGAAGTTGATTCTGGTAAATTGTATAGTAGTAAGCCTCAGAGCACCCACTAAGAGAATAACTAAAAATATATATACAGTGAAAAAATCATTAAAGGAATTTAAATGTTAAGTTAGAAAATAATCATTGTGAAAGAAAGCAATAAAAAAGAAATAGAGTAATAAAAATGACATGAGGCATTGAAAACAAAAAAAGCAAAATGGCCGACATATATGCACCCATAATAATAATAATATTGTTAGTGAATTAAACTATCCATATAAAAGGCAGATTGTCAGATGTATAAAAAAATAAGATCCAGGGCAGCCTTGGTGGCTCAGCGGCTTAGCGCCGCGTTCGGCCCAGGGCCTGATCCTGGAGTCCTGGGATCGAGACCCACGTCGGGCTCCCTGCATGAAGTCTGCTTCTCCCTCTGCCTGTGTCTCTGCCTCTCCCTCTCTCTCTCTCTCTCTCTCTCTCTCTGTCTCATGAATAAATAAAATCTTAAAAAAAAAAAAAAGGTCCGGGATCCCTGGGTGGCGCAGCAGTTTGGCGCCTGCCTTTGGCCCAGGGTGCGATCCTGGAGACCCGGGATCAAATCCCACGTCGGGCTCCCGGTGCATGGAGCCTGCTTCTCTCTCTCTCTCTCTCTCTCTCTCTCTCTCTCTCTCTGTGTGTGTGTGTGTGTGACTATCATAAATAAATAAAGAAAATAAATTTTAAAAAACCCTTTAAAAAAAAAGATCCAACTCTATGCTGTGTACAGAAGATAATGTTTTTTTTTTAATTTTTTTTTTACTGGAGTTCAATTTGCCAACATATAGCATAACACCCAGTGCTCATCCCGTCAAGTGCCCCCCTCAGTGCCCGTCACCTAGTCACCCCAACCCCCCACCCACCACCCTTTCACTACCCCTTGTTTGTTTCCTAGAGTTAGGGAAGATATGTTTTATATTCAAAGATACAAATATTTTGAAAGTGAAAGGATGGAAAAAATACACAAAATGTAACTAAAGTAAAACTCCAGTAGCTATGCAAATATCAGACAAAATAGACTTTAAAACAAAGTGTTGTTAGAAATAAAGAATATATTTTATAATGATAAAGGGGTCAATTTACCATGAAGTTATAACAATTATAAATATATATGTACCTAACAACAAAGTTCCCAAATACGTGGAGCAAAAACCGTCAGAATTGAAGGCAGAAACAGACAAGTGGAAAAGTAATAATTGTAGATTTCAGTATCCCACTTTCAATGAAAGATAGAGCAAGTAGGCAGAATATTAACAGGTAAATAGATGACTTGAAAAATATTACAAAATAGATCTCATAAGTATCTATACACATCTCATCCAACAACAGCAAAATATGTTCTTCTCTACCAATGTAGAATATTCGCTAGGATAGACTACATTAGGCCACAAAAAAAGAAAAAAAAAACCTCAATGAATTTAAAAGATTGAAATCACACAAAGTGTAGTTTCTAATTACAGTGGAGTGAAATTATAAATTTGCAACAGGAAGAAACTTCAGAAATTCATATACTTGTGGAAATTAAACCACATACTTCTAAATCCCAATGGTGAAAGAAGAAATCACAAAGAAAATTAGGAAATATTTTGACATGAATAAAAATGACATAATGCACACAACTAATAAGATGCAGCTAAACCAGTGCTTAGAGGGAAATTTATACCTATAATTTCCTACATTAAAACGTCCTCTAATAAACAATCTGCCCACCTTAAGATATTTAAAAAATAATAGCCAGCTAAATCCAAAGCAAGAAGAAAGAAGGAAATAAGGGAATTAATGAAACCAAAGTTTAGTTCTTTGAAAAGATCAATAAAAGTGACAAACTTTTAGCTGTACTGACCAAGAAAAAAAAAAAACCAGAAGATTCAAATCACTAAAATGAGAAATGAAAAGTCCTCTATGGAAGTAGTGGATGGGGATGATCAGCTAAACAATCGCATTTCAATGCATCTAAAATTAGATTACATTGTTAAAAATGAAAACGTCTGGAACAAATATGATGATGGAGGAGACCGTAGCACAACAGAGATAATTTGGGACATCATGTTGGATGGATATCTCTGAACACATTTATCCTTTTGGTCATGTTTTCTTTTTTAAAAATAATGAAGTATAGTTGACATACCATGTTAGTTTCATACAATATTATATTAATTTCATAGTGATTTCACAATTCTGTACAATATAAATGCTTACCACAGTAAGTATAAAGTAGGATTTATGAGTTCCTGGATTTAAAGTGATATTTTCTTCTTTAAACTTAACCAATAATTATGAGAGCTGTGGATAAAAACTATATCAATATTTTGAAACTATTGTTACTGTGTTTAACTCCCCTGACTGGAATTTAAATTCTTCATGAATAACATTTTTATTATCTGGGTTTTCAAGTTTTAAAAGAGTTTAGCATAATCTAGTGAAGTGTACAATCATAACATAATTAATAAGTGTTGTCAAATAGTTGATGCAATGCTGTTAAGTTCTAATATAATAAACTCTTTAGTGTTTAGATACCTGAGTTATTTGTACCCATTCATACTCATTGAATATTAGAACATGAGTTAATCAAAAACTTAAAAATTAAGTATTTTTAATCTAATCACCTCCAATATAACCATTGATAGTTTAATTTTTTTAATAATAAATTTATTTTTTATTAGTGTTCAATTTGCCAACATACAGAATAACACCCAGTGCTCATCACATCAAGTGGCCCCCTCAGTGCCCGTCACCCATTCACCCCCACCCTCCTCCCCTTCCACCACCCCTAGTTTGTTTCCCAGAGTTAGGAGTCTTCATGTTCTGTCTCCCTTTCTGATATTTCCTACCCATTTCTTCTCCCTTCCCTTCTATTCCCTTTCACTGTTATTTATATTCCCCAAATGAATGAGACCATATAATGTTTGTCCTTCTCAGATTGACTTATTTCACTCAGAAAAAAAATTAGATAATTTTAAAAAATTGATAGTTTTTGGAATTTTCTTCTGAGAGATATTGCTAATTCTAATGAACAATCCTCATAGATTTCAAATTTAAGGTTTTAGTGAGCAGTTTATTGTCATGTTCCCTCATGAAAGCTAAGGTATTATTATGTCTTCTGCTTAATCCCTAGGTCTCTATCCTGCTACCAGTGGAGAGGCCTATATTAATGGATATAACATCTCACAGCAGATGGTCCATATCAGGAAAAGCTTGGGCGTGTGTCCCCAACAAAACTTGTTGTTTGATTATTTGACCGTGTCAGAACATCTTTACTTCTATTGTGTGGTAAGCCAAAAAAGATATGTTCCTTTTTCCCACTCTATTGATGTACTTCAGATAGATTACCAACTATCAATATTATTATTCTTAGAAAGTTTAAAAACTGATTTTTGACGAAGTCTCCTTTACATGTAAAGATAAACAAAGGGAAGAAGACACTATGGAGATCATATAAAAAAAAAAAGCCTTGTATAAAATGTTTCTAAGGATAAAGCGGGAAGCACCACATAAACTCTGGCTTCTCTTTCCAGGTAAAAGGAATACCTCAAAAGACACGTCTTATGGAAACTGATCATATGCTGGCTGCTTTTAACCTTCTAGATAAGCATAATGCATTTTCACATTCACTGAGTGGAGGCATGAAGCGCAGACTCTCCATGATCATAGCACTTATAGGGGGCTCCAAGGTAAAAAAAAAACAAACAAAAAAAACTCCCACTAAATCAGCCAACAGAAACTTGAGAGCTGATACGCGTCTAACACTGTAAATGGAACCTTACAAGTGAAATCCCATACGGAATTCACATTACCAAATGCTTATAGTAAATTTGTCACAGGTTTGGAATTATTTTCAGTTTTAGTCTAAATTTATTATCTTAGCTTAATTGAACAAGTGACTGAAAAAGCAAAACCAGAGTAAGCCCCATAAGTGGTAAGACCTTAGGCACACTAGTACATAATATTTAAATAGTTACGGAATTGTTCTTCTGGTCTTTAGGTGGTGATACTTGATGAGCCAACATCTGGCATGGACCCAGCCTCAAGGAGGGCCACCTGGGATGTCCTTCAGGAGTATAAAGAGAATCGTACCATCTTATTGACCACCCATTATATGGATGAAGCTGACATCCTGGGTGATCGCATAGCTATCATGGTCAAGGGATCCCTGCGCTGCTGTGGCTCTTCAGTTTTCCTGAAAAGAATATATGGTCTCTATCCTTTTGATTATTTTTTGGATATTGATATCTTAATATTCTTCAAACATAATCTTCATGGATATTGATGTCTTAGTAATATTCTAATATAATTTCCATAATTTTTTGTTTGTCTCCCCAAAATTTCTATGATTTCCTCTGTCTTTTTTTTTTTTTTTGGAGCTCAAATATGAGCTCTTTGAAGTAATGGTCATAGTTTATTTATTTATTTTTAATATGGAAGTATAATTGACATACAAAGTCCTATTATTTTCATGTGTATATCATAGTAATTTGGTATTTTATACATTACAAAATGATCCCTATGATTAGTCTAGTTACCATCTGTAATCATACAAAGTTATTACAATATTATTGACTGTATTCCCTATGCTGTATATTATATCCTCATTATTTATTTATTTTGTAACCAGAAGTTCATCCCTCTTAATCCCCTTCACCAATTTCCCCGACCTCCAACCCCTTCTATTTTTGGTGACTTATAGTTTATTTCTCATATATTTGAGTCTGTTTTGTCTATCTGTTTGTTCTTTATATTCTACATGTAAGTGAAATTCTTTGGTATTTGTCTTTGATTTATTTCACTTAGTGTGACACCCTCTAAGTCTATCCATGTTGTCACAAATGGCAAAATTTCATTTTTGATGGCTAAGTAATATCCCACTGTATATATTAACCACATCTTCTTTATTTGTTCATCAATGGGTAGACACTTGGGTTGCTTCCATAGCTTGGCTGTAGTAAATAATGCTGCAATAGACATGGGATGCATATATCTTTTTGAATTGATGTGTTTGTGTTCTTTGAGTAAATACCTGATAGTGAAATTACTGGATCATATAGTAGTTCTATTTTTAATTTTTTGAGGAACCTCCTCACTGTTTTCCACAGTGGCTACACCAGTTTCCATTTCTACCAACAATGCAAGGGGGTTCTTTTTTCTTTATATCTTCACTATCACCTGTTGTTTCTTGTATTACTGGTTTTAGCCATTTTGACAGGTGTGAGAGATATCTTCTTGTGGTTCTGATTTGTATTTCCCTGATGATGAATGATGTTGAACATCTTTTCATATGTCAGTTGGCCATCAGTATGTCTTCTTTGGAGATACCTTTGGCCATCTCATATCTTCTGCCTGGTTTTTAATTTGATTATTTGGGTTTTGGTATTGAGTTGTATAATATTTTTGTATGTTGTGGATATTAATGCCTTATTGGATATAATTTGCAAATATCTTTTCCAATTCAGTGTGCTTTTTGTTTTGCTGATGATTTCCTTCATTGTGCAAAAGCTAGTTTTGATGTAGTCTCAATAGCTTAATTTTGCTTTGTTTTCCTTGCCAGGGGAGACCTATATGGAAGAAGGCTTCTACAGTCAATGGCAAAGAGATTGCTGCCTTTGTTTTCTCCTAGGAATTTTTGGTTTACAAACATTTTCTTTTATTCTCTAGGTTGCCTTTCCATTTTGTTGATTGTTTCTTTTGCCATTCAGAATTTTTAAATTTGTTTTAAGATTTACTAATTAAAAAAAAAAGATTTACTAATTTATTTTAGAGAATGGGAGACAGAGAGAGAGAGTAAGTGGATGGGGGTTTAGAGGGAGAGAATCTCCAAGCGGACTCTCCACCGAGAGTGGAGCCTTACTTAGGGCTGAAAATCCCATGACCATGAAATCCTGACCTGAGCCAAAACCAAGAGTCAGACATTTGGCTGTCTGAGCCACCCACATGTCCCCAGAATCGTTTTAGTTTTGTAGTCACCCTTGTCTATTTTGTTTAATTTCCTTTCATGTCCTTTTGGTTTCATATCCAAAAAACATCATTGCTTATACCAGTGTCAAGAAGCTTTTACCTGGTATTTTCTTATAGGAGTGGGTCTTAACATTTAAAAAAAAATATCTTCAGTTGTTCTTTTGATTGGAGAATTTAATCTGTTTATATTTAACATAGAGTAGTTTGATAAGGAAATACCTACTTTTGTTAATTGTGTTCTGTTTGTTTTGTAGTTCTTGTGTCCCTCTTCTCCTCTCTTGCTGTTTTTATTTCCTTTTTACTGATTTTTTGTATTGATATGCTTCAATTTTTTCTTTTGTGTAATTTCTAGACATATTTGTATTATCATGGAACACATATAACAGTATATTATAAGCTGATAATCTCTATTGCAAATAAAAAGCTGTTTTCAAAAAAAAAAATTTAAAAGCTGTTTTTGGGCAGCCCCGGTGGCGCAGCGGTTTAATGCGACCTGCGGCCCAGGGCGTGATCCTGGAGACCCTGGATCGAATCCCGCGTCGGGCTCTCTGCATGGAGCCTGCTTATCCCTCTTCCTGTGTCTCTGCCTCTCTCTCTCTGTCTCTATGAATAAATAAATAAAATCTTAAAAAAAAAGCTATTTTCTTTACTTCCTCCATAACACTTTAGTGATATCATATTTATATACATATTTGTATTATGTATTGTATGTCTCTTTTTTAGTTATGCTTTTTAGTAACAATATAACAAATTTAGTTACAGTTTTTTAAGACTTCTATCTTTTAACTTTTATAGAATTAAAAGTAACTTATCCACCATCATTGCAATATACATTATTCTATATTTGTATATTTACCCTTATCTATGAGATTTATACTTTCATATGATTTTGTATTACTGGTTAGGATCCTTTCTTTTCTTTTTTTTTTTTTTGCCATCCTTTTCAATTTGAAGAACTTCCTTTGGCATTTCTTATAATGCAAATCTAAGTAATGAATTCTCTCAGCTTTTGTTTGTCTAAGAAAGTCTTTCTCCTTCATTTTTGAAGGACAGTTTTGCCAAATAGAGTATTCCTAGTTGGTAATTTTCTTTCAGCACTTGGAATGTATGTCATCATTCTCTTCTAGGCTTCAAGATTTCTGCTGAAAAATCAACTAATGGTCTAATGAGAATTACCTTGTATGTGACAACTTGTTTTTCTCTTGCTGCTTTCAAAATCTTCTCTTTGTCTTTGACTTTTTACCATTTGATTATAATGTGTCTTATTGTAGGTATCTTTGGATTGATCTTGTATAAATCCTTTGCATTTGTAACTCTGAATACCCATTTCCTTTCCTTGGTTGGGAAATTTTCAGCCATTATTTCTTTAAATAAACCTCCAGTTCCTCCTCCTATTCCTTCTCTCTCTCTCTCTCTCTCTCTCTCTCTCCCCTCCCCCGCTGCCCCCTAACGGGACTCCCATACTGTATATATTATTCTACTTAGTGATGTCCCATAAGTCTCTTGGGCTTTATTTACACTTTTTCATTCTTTTTTTCTTTTTGTTTCTCTGAGTGAATAATTTCCAATTACTTGACTTTGAGATCACCTATCCTTTTGTCTACTTTATGCAGTCCACTTCCGAACTCCTCTAATGAATTTTTCAATTTAGTTACTGTATTTTCAGCTCTGTGACTTATTTTTGATACTTCCTAAGCTTCCCGTTTCTTTGTTGAAATTCTCACTTTGTTGCTGCATTGGTATCCTGACCCCGGTGAACATCTTTATGATATTATTTTAAATTCTCTGTCAGGTAAATTATATAGATCTCCATTTAACAGAGCTTTTTTTCCCCATCTCTGTTCTATCAGTGCCTAAGAAAATTAATGAAATTACAAAAGAGGAATTTATTAGACGTCTTAGACTTTTATGATTAACATGCCTTACCTTCTTCTAGATCACCCAAACTATGAAAAGCCATGAATTGTCTCACAAGAATATTGGAAATACAAAATTGTTTTTATTTGTTCTTCTAAATGGATTTTCTCAGGTGTGGGATACCACATTGTTATGGTGAAGGAAGCTCACTGTAATGTTGAAGAAATCTTCAAATTGCTTCAATATTATATACCAACAGCCACTTTGGAGAAGAATGTTAGTAATGAAGTATCTTTTATTCTACCCAAAGAGTACACACACAGGTATGAGTCCAGAGAATACAAAATGATTGATGTTTAGATAACCAGCAATCATTATTGCTTTTCCTGGTTTCTTCAAGCTTGGCAAATAGAGTTTATTTAATAAGCCAAAACTCCCATCATTACTGTCACTTGCAATGAAAAGAAGGATGCTACATTTGGCTATAGCTTCCTGGTCTTAATTGGTTATAACTAATGATATGTTTTGGTAGAGTCAAAATTGGTGAGTGGAGTGAATGGAAATATAATGAGATGAAAATGATTTTAGTGGTGGCTCTTGAAGCCAAGGTGACAGGAACTAAGAGTAAATAGGCAGTTTGACTGCACTTGCCAGCCAAGTTTTTCATCAGAGGTAGTCACAAAGAATAATAATTCTACCTGAGATAACTATCCTGATAAAGGAAAATGGAAACTAAGTATACTTATCAGTGACATTTAGAGTATGATATTTTTATCTTCTTGTATTATACAAATGAATAGTTGCTGTAGTATTTCCAAAAGTCAAGCCAGTTGTTATATTCCAGAAAAATGTGAAGAACTTAAATGCTCCCTTTTCTAGGAAAAAGAGAAATATGTCAAAAAAAGAGAAAAGAAGGAAAAGGAACTGCATCATGTCAACACTGTTTATTTAGTAATTCTAAAAGTTCTTGAGAAGCAGCAACATGGAATAGTGTGATCAGGCAGCAGAATGGAACCAAGATTCTAGCCATAACCTGGAATGAGAGAATTAAATATCATAAAGAATTAGAAATAAAATTCTAGATATGTATCCTCAGAGATACATAGTAGTTGGCTCATTCAGAAAAGTTGGGAACCAGATGAGGGCTTTTGCCCATTATGATAATTGTGATACATGTGAAGCTGCAGAGTCTCTCTGAAGGAGACAAAAAAGTAAAGCACTTGCTTAAACTTATCACACTCTTTGCCTATCCTCATTCATATGGATACTAATGACATTCTCAAAGAATGTCTAAAACAGGAAATGAAAGTATTCTTAAGCAAATGATATCTTTTATCATATCTTCATATTCACAGTTATAGTACCTTCTTCATATTTTATCATATCTTTATATTTGGAAGCAGAAGATATTTATCATATATTCTTATTAGGTATTTGAACTTAAATAACAGAAAAGGGAAGAGGATCCAAGAGGTGAACAACTAATTGTAGATTGCGGAGCCATAGAATTATGGACTCACTTGAAAGTCATAAAATTAGGAAAGAATGTGTTTTTCTATCAGGGAGGGCTTTTCTTTCTTTTCTTTTTTTTTTTTTTTTTTTTTTTTTTTACAGTAGACTTCACACCCAGCATGGAGCCCAACACCGGGTTTGAACTCACGACCTTGAAATCAAAACCTAAGTTGAGATCAAGAGTAGGACGCTTAACTGAGCCACCCAGGCATCCCTATTAGAGATATATTTTAAACTAAAAATGGGGGAATCCCTGGGTAGCTCAGCGGTTTGGCGCCTGCCTTTGGCCCAGGACGCAATCCTAGGGTCCCGGATCCCCGGGTCGAGTCCCACGCGGGGCTCCGGCATGGGGCTTGCTTCTCCCTCTGCCTGTGTCTCTGCCTCTCTCTCTCTCTGTGTGTGACTATCATAAAAATAAATAAATAAATAAATAAATAAATAAATAAATAAATAAAAATAAAAACTTACTGAATAATAACCATAGCATGTGTATATAGTTGACAAGTTAATTTACGTGAGCTAGCTAGAGTTTTTAGCATATATAGAGTCTCTGTAGTTTATTAGAAGACCAACATTATGTATTTTCAGAAATTAAGTGGAGTGGGCCACATATGCCACAGCAGTTTACTAGTTTCTATTATAAGTATTGAAGTGAAGAATGAGCTACATTTCCCCACTGCTGAGGGGAAATCAGTTCAGAACAAAAATATATAAAAATGAAAATCTTCTAATTTGATACTAACATTTACTCTTCCCATTCTCCTTTCCCTTCACCCTTCTTATTTTATTCTAATTCTAGCTTTGAAGCTCTGTTTACTGATCTGGAAAAGAGACGGTATGAGTTAGGCATTGCTAGCTTTGGTGCCTCTGTTACGACCATGGAAGAAGTCTTTTTTAGGTGAGCAAGGGAAAATAAAAGCCATTGGGGAGGAAGGACCACATCTTGGTCCCTTTTATAAACCCACCAAACTCAGTCACACATTAGAAATTTAAGCAATGTGGAGAGGAGGGAACTGATATGATTTTTTTTTACAATAACAACACTGAAAAAACTCATTTTAAAAAAGAACAGATATTTGAGTTACTCAAAGTATGAATTAGACATTAATCTTTAATTTGAATGAGTTCAACTAATGAAACATTCAATACCTTGCCCTAATTTTGTCAGCAGTCCTGTAAGTGGTGTTTGGGAACCACTCCTCTACCAGAGTTACCCTGTTGCCTCTGCCAAGTCAGCAAGCAAATCAAGGAGCCTTCTGAGTTGAATGTTGTAACTTACATTCTCCAAAAAAAATATTATGGGGTAGAGTTAAATTAAATGCTTTGCACCATTTTTTTTATGTAGAGTCAGTAATATGGAAGATTCACAAACAGATATCCAAGCTACCCAAACTCTACCTCCCTCTGTGATGAGTGAAGTCTCAATTAAGAACCAGAATAGGAATATGTCAAACAATAAGAGAGCAGATTATTCCTCCATGAATGAAAACTCTGCTATTATGTTTAATACTGGGGTAAGCACCTTTGCTAAGAAACCTGATGTATATTTATTTGACGAAGGCACAAGAGGTACATTTTCTTTTATACTTATAAAATAAGTATACAAATAACCACTGCACCCTACCAGAAAGGGAGCAGTTTCTACCACAACCTAATTAATTTCCCAATGCAGAAGAAATGAGGTCAGCTGTCATTCTCACCATTGCTATTCCTCAGTTCTTTTTTCTCTTAGAATTCTTTTTTATTTTTCAAATTGCTAACCCAGAAATTTGAGTTTTCTTTCTTTCTTTCACTGAAGCTGGAGTGAACCAAAAAGAGCATGATTTTTAACAATTAAACATGCCCAGTATTGTAAGTTTTTGAGATAGGAATTGATACTACATAAGAGATCTTTCCCTAATCAGTGCAGTCCTCACCATATGAAGTCCCTCTGAGATGCCTAGCATTTCTTTCCTTCTCCTCCTAATTATTTCTTCCTCCTATAGAGAAGCCTGATTTTCTTGACTGGAGAAAATCATCTTATTGAGATTTTAAGTGTATTATATGAAAATCCAGACCTTGAACACTGTATTTAATACAACAGAGATCAGCAAACTTATATAAAGGAATAATAGATATGTAAGGTGAAGTTGGCCACAAGGTCTCTCTTGGAATTGCTCTACCTGTCCTTGTAGCACAAAAGCTACTATAGACAATACAGAAATTAATGGATATAGCTGAGTTCCAGGAAAATTTGGACCTAATTTTTTACAAAAACAGGTCATAGTCTGTTGACTCTTGCCTTATAAAGAAAAGACTGGTCATACTCTCATGTAGTATTATAATGTGCTTAGATTCTATTCTCAGTATTTATTTAGAAAAATGTTATGTGTCTTCTCCCATAAAATTCCAGAGTGTTCACTCATCTTAATGAATTTCATCATGAATGATCTGTTTAGGTCCATGAATATGGTAATATTGTTTCTTTCTTCCTTCTTTAGTATTCCCTCTACCACCAGCAGTTCTGGGCCATGTTCATAAAGAGGGCGATGTTCAGTTGGAGGAATTGGAAACTGATTGCGCTACAGATGCTGGCACTTCTAGGTTCCTTTATTTTTCTCTCAGAAGCTGATAAGCTTTCATATAATATTAATGAAAAGGCCAGAGAAATGAATTTGGATCAATATGGTAGAACAATTGTGCCTTTATCTATTTCTGGAAATTCTAGTTTGGCCCTGATTTTCCTAAAACATCTTAGAAGTATACTAGAGTCTGACAAACACACACTTAAGGAAGTGCAAGGTAAGATTCGTTAAGTAAAAAACACTGCTCTTAGATGAATATCTGGTTGTTTGATTTGCAAAGAAGGTCTTAACTGTATACTTGGCTACAGTATAACTAAAGACTTAATGTGCTAGCTCCTCTGAATACACTTACTGTAGTAGTAATAATAATTTACATTTACTGAGCACTTGTTTATGACAAGAACCTAGCTAAGCATTCTACTTGTATATCATTTAATCTGAGTAATCACCCAGATTTAGCAGATATTTTTATTACAGACATCAGTTAAATGAGGAGGAAGTATCTGGAGTATCCTCCCAGATAATGTTTTTTTTTTTCTTTAACTGCCTCCTGGTGAACAGTATTCTTTTGAGTTAGCAAAAATCTTGCAGTATTGGCAAGCCTGTGTGGTTATTTTTTTTCTCTTATTGAGTTTCTGTTGTGAAAATACATTTCAGAAATGTTGATTGTTCCTTATAATACTGATCACAACCTACAAGTAATAGATTGACTGACTACAAATAATTGTCCCTGTTATTCCTCCACTACAAATATTAGGTAAGCATTTGTTAACCGAAGTCACATATAAGGGCAGAGGATAAAGAATAAAATCATTTTTTGAAATGCAGTATACTACTTACATTAAAAAGGTAAAATGATTAACTGAATATTATTCATTGTTATATTGATAATGAAACTAAAAATACAAGAGAATAATACAGTAACCACACTGATAGCCATTTTCAATTGTTACTGCTTGGTTCATTAGCTAGAAATTATCTAGCAATAATATTTAGGCTTAACTACTCCCACTTTGTTTTAAAAAATTTACATGGAGTTAGGAGGGGCAAGATGGCGGAAGAGTAGGGTCCCCAAATCACCTGTCCCCAAAAAATTACCTAAATAACCTTCAAATCATCCTGAAAATCTACAAATTCAGCCTGAGATTTAAAGAGAGAACAGCTGGAACGCTACAGTGAGAAGAGTTCACGCTTCTATCAAGGTAGGAAGACAGGGGAAAAAAGAAATAAAGAAACAAAAGGCCTCCGAGGGGGAGGGGCCCCGCGAAGAGCCGGGCTGAGGCCGGGGCGAGTGTCCCCAGGACAGGGGAGCCCCGTCCCGGAGAAGCAGGAGCTGCACCAATCTTCCCAGGCGGAAAGGGGCTCGCAGGGAGTTGGAGCAGGACCCAGGAGGGCGGGGATGCCCTCGGGCTCCCTGGGACACTAACAGACACCTGCGCCCCAGGGAGAGTGCGCCGAGCTCCCTAAGGGCTGCAGCGCGCACGGCGGGACCCGGAGCAGCTCGGAGGGGCTCGGGCAGCGGCTCCGCAGGGGGCTACGGGGCGGGAGCGAATCCAACAGCGCAGGCCCGGGAGTACAGGGCACCGGGGACACAGCCCAGGATGCGGCCTCCCCCCCGGGACAGGCAGAGGCCGGGAGGGCCCAGGACAGCAAGGACGCTCCTGCCCCGAGCTGAGCAGATCAGCGGCCCCGCCCCGAGGCTCCAGGCCCTGCAGACAGAGAGCTCCGGAGTTACTGCCGGGGCTGAATCCAGGTTTTCAGAGCTGGCCGCCGCCACTGTGGTTGTTCCTCCTGGGGCCTCACGGGGTAAACAACCCCCGCTGTGCCCTGCAGCAGGCAGAGGCAGAGCAGCTCCCCCAAGTGCTAACACCTGAAAATCAGCACAGCAGGCCCCTCCCCCAGAAGACCAGCTGGACGGACCAGTTCCAGGGGAAGTCAAGGGACTAGAAGTCTACAGATTCAGAAGATACTCCCCCGTGTTTTTTGTTTTTTTTTTCTTTTTTTTGTTTTTGTTTTGTTTTGTTTTCTTTTGCTTTTTGAGTTCTATTTGCTTCCCCCACCCTTTTTTCTCCTTTCTTTCTTTTTCTTCTCTTTTTTTCTTTTTTCTTCCTTTTTTCTTTTTCTCTTTTCTTTCCTTCTTTCTCTTCTCTCTTTTTCTCCTTCTCCCAATACAACTTGTTTTTGGCCACTCTGCACAGAGCAAAATGACTAGAAGGAAAACCTCACCTCAAAAGAAAGAATCAGAAACAGTCCTCTCGGAGGAGGGGCAAGATGGCGGAAGAGTAGGGTCCCCAAATCACCTGTCCCCAACAAATTACCTAGATAACCTTCAAATCATCCTGAAAATCTACGAATTCGGCCTGAGATTTAAAGAGAGACCAGCTGGAATGCTACAGTGAGAAGAGTTCGCGCTTCTATCAAGGTAGGAAGTCGGGAAAAAGAAATAAACAAAAGTCCTCCAAGGGGGAGGGGCCCCGCGAGGAGCCGGGCTGAGGCCGGGGCGAGTGTCCCCAGGACAGGAGAGCCCCGTCCGGGAGAGCAGGAGCTGCACCAACCTTCCCGGGCGGAAGGGGCCCGCGGGGAGTTAGAGCAGGACCCAGGAGGGCGGGGATGCCCTCGGGCTCCCGGGGACACTAACAGACACCTGCGCCCCCGGGAGAGTGCGCCGAGCTCCCTAAGGGCTGCAGCGTGCACGGCGGGACCCGGAGCAGCTCGGAGGGGCTCGGGCGACGGCTCCACGGAGGGGGCTGCGGGGCGGGAGCGCAAATCCAACAGCGCAGGCCGGGAGCACAGGGCGCTGGGACATAGCCCAGGATCCGGCCTCCCCCGGGACAGGCAGAGGCCGAGAGGTCCCAGGACAGCAAGGACACTCCTGCCCCGAGTTGAGCAGATCAGCGGCCCCGCCCCGGAGCCTCCAGGCCCTGCAGAGGGAGAGCCCGGAGTTACTGCGGGGGGCTGAATCCAGCCTTCCAGAGTTGCCATAGCAACTGCGGCTGTTCCTCCTGGGGCCTCACGGGGTAAACAACCCCCGCTGAGCCCTGCAGAAGGCAGGGGCAGAGCAGCTCCCCCAAGTGCTAACACCTGAAAATCAGCACAACAGGCCCCTCCCCCAGAAGACCAGCTAGACGGACCAGTTCCAGGGGAAGTCAAGGGACTTAATGTATACAGATTCAGAAGATACTTCCCTGTGTTTTTTTGTTTTTTTTTTCTTTTTTCTTTTCTTATTGATTTCTGATTGCTTCCCCACCCCCAATTTTTTTCACCTTTCTTTCTCTTTTTCTTCTCTTTTTTTTCTTTTTCTATTTTCTTTTTCTCTTTTCTTTCCTTCTCTCTCTTTTTCTCCTTTTCCCAATACAACTTGTTTTTGGCCACTCTGCACTGAGCAAAATGACGAGAAGGAAAACCTCACCTCAAAAGAAAGAATCAGAAACAGCCCTCTCTCCCACAGAGTTACAAAATCTGGATTGCAATTCAATGTCAGAAAGCCAATTCAGAAGCACTATTATACAGCTACTGGTGGCCCTAGAAAAAAGCATTAAGGACTCATGAGACTTCATGACTGCAGAATTTAGATCTAATCATGCAGAAATTAAAAATCAATTGAATGAGATGCAATCCAAACTAGAAGTCCTAACGACGAGGGTTAGTAGGTGGAAGAACAAGTGAGTGACATAGAAGACAAGTTAATGGCAAAGAGGGAAACTGAGGAAAAAAGAGACAGACAATTAAAAGACCATGAAGACAGATTAAGGGAAATAAATGACAGCCTAAGGAAGAAAAACCTACGTTTAATTGGGGTTCCCGAGGGCGCCGAAAGGGCCAGAGGGCCAGAATATGTATTTGAACAAATCCTAGCTGAAAACTTTCCCAATCTGGGAAGGGAAACAGGCATTCAGATCCAGGAAATAGAGAGATACCCCCCTAAATTCAATAAAAAACCGTTCAAAACCTCGACATTTAATAGTGAAGCTTGCAAATTCCAAAGATAAAGAGAAGATCCTTAAAGCAGCAAGAGACAAGAAGTCCCTGACTTTCATGGGGAGGAATATTAGGGTAACAGCAGACCTCTCCACAGACACGTGGCAGGCCAGAAATGGCTGGCAGGATATATTCAGGGTCCTAAATGAGAAGAACATGCAACCAAGAATTCTTTATCCAGCAAGGCTCTCATTCAAAATGGAAGGAGAGATAAAGAGCTTCCAAGACAGGCAGGAATGGCACAAAAACAGATACAGAGATCAATGGAACAGAATAGAGAACCCAGAAGTGGACCCTCAACTTTATGGTCAACTAATATTCGATAAAGGAGGAAAGACGATCCACTGGAAGAAAGACAGTCTCTTCAATAAATGGTGCTGGGAAAATTGGACATCCACATGCAGAAGAATGAAACTAGACCACTCTCTTGCACCATACACAAAGATAAACTCAAAATGGATGAAAGATCTAAATGTGAGACAAGATTCCATCAAAACCCTAGAGGAGAACACAGGCAACACCCTTTTTGAACTTGGCCACAGTAACTTCTTGCAGGATACATCCACAAAAGCAAAAGAAACAAAAGCAAAAATGAACTATTGGGACTTCATCAAGATAAGAAGCTTTTGCACAGCAAAGGATACAGTCAACAAAACTCAAAGACAACCTACAGAATGGGAGAAGATATTTGCAAATAACATATCAGATAAATGGCTAGTTTCCAAAAATCTATAAAGAACTTATTAAACTCAACACCAAAGAAACAAACAATCCAATCATGAAATGGGCAAAAGACATGAAGAGAAATCTCACAGAGGAAGACATAGACATGGCCAACATGCACATGAAAAAATGCTCTGCATCACTTGCCATCAGGGAAATACACATCAAAACCACAATGAGATACCACCTCACACCAGTGAGAATGGGGAAAATTAACAAGGCAGGAAACCACAAATGTTGGAGAGGATGCGGAGAAAAGGGAGCCCTCTTACACTGTTGGTGGGAATGTGAACTGGTGCAGCCACTCTGGAAAACTGTGTGGAGGTTCCTCAAAGAATTAAAAATAGACCTGCCCTACGACCCAGCAATTGCACTGTTAGGAATTTACCCCAAAGATTCAGATGCAATGAAACGCTGGGACACCTGCACCCTGATGTTTCTAGCAGCAATGTCCACAATAGCCAAACTGTGGAAGGAGCCTCGGTGTCCATCGAAAGATGAATGGATAAAGAAGAT